AAACAAACACACTCTTTTCAGAAGGAAACAAACATGTGAATAAAATCTTATTTGATGTCACTAATTGTAAAATACGTAAAATGAAACAATAACTGACTATACCAACACAGGCTTTTGTTATATGTTTATACAAACCGAAACCACTACTACATGATAGGGTTATTACGCTCAAATTTACAAAATTGCGTTTCAGAGAACCAATGCACCAAATTAATTTCATAGGATTTAGTTTTACATTTAAACCTGTTCAACATGTTCAAGAAATGTATTACTAGACAAGAACAATTTAAAAGTAGGACAAAATCGGCTTTCAACGCGAAATTTGTTCAAAGAATAGTACCAAGCATGTGACAAAATAACGGGTATGTAACAGAGGTGTCGTAATCACACATGGATTGATGGATATTTGCCGTGTGTTACACGTTCAGTGACAAGTATTTCATGCATACTCATGACCAAAATAAGTTGGGCAGACGAAAAAAGCGAAATGGTGACAAATTCATTATTCAAAATTTTTTTCCAAGTGTTGTTTAGGAATTCATATATATGTATATATATTATGGAAATAAATTTACTATTACTTATTTAACACTTTAAAAAGATCGTAAACCCGGCGAAAGGAACTTTGAAAGAAAGATGAAATAAACGAAATGTAAAAAAAAAAAAAATGAAAAAATAAATTACACAAATAATTTTAAACTTTCAATGTCATGAGAATAATGCAGATTTTTTTCCTGGCCGGCCTTTATTAGAGTAAAAAATAACAAAAAGTTTCTTGAAATATAGCGAAGAACTTTTTTTTTTTTATTTTGATTAATCAATATGAATACCTTGTGCGATCTATGGAAACACTCCTTGCTGTTGAATTTGGGTTTGGCTGATCTCAAAGGATATTACGTTTTAAAACAATAATTTAAATGAAATATACAATTATTTTACTTTGAGGGGGGGGGGGGGGGGTCACTGTCCCTAAAACATTTAACAACAATATAGGGTCACTGTCCCTAAAACATTTAACAACAATATAGGCTATAGTATTTTGAAGCATTCAAATGAAAAGTAACGTAAGCTAATTTTTACGAATAAAAAAACTTATTAAGCAAGTCTGCCCAAAAATGGTTGATATTTCAAAGAAAGATTTATAGTGTGTTTATAGTAAACCTAAACCAAAATGCGTAAGATGTCTCTGATTATAAGTATCTGTGTATAACAGTCACATATCACTTCTAAATATTAAAAATCAACGATGTAACATTAATGCATTACTGTTTTATCGAAAGAGATCGAGATACGCTAATTGCCTCATTCAAATTATATGACACTTAATTTTATTTTCGAAACACATTATAGTTCTATTAAAGGTTTGTTTTTCTTTAACACTTTAAGACCGTATCTCGGGGGCACTGCTGAAAATAATCTGGCACGCAGATTTGTCTTGTAACCAAATATTACGGTAAACATTGGTCACGCACGACATATTCCGATGTAAGGCACGTGCCGTTAAAATGTCATAGCCGGTTTTTCACGGGTCAGCAAACACAGGTTTGTCGAATAGGCCTGTTGATTGGAGGAAAGTTACCAAAAACCACGCCTTCCTTAAACTAATACCCAAAATCAACCGCTTTCAGAAACATAAATCAAACATGGATAAGGTTACAGAGATTTGGTTTCGTATTCAATATTTGAAAAAGTTTAGACTCTTTATTCAAACTAAAAGTAGTATAGAAGTATAGAAAATGCCCGTTATGCAAGTTTCGCGATTTTACAATAAATTTTATACATCATTATCACCTATCTAGTGAGTGAAAAAAAACAAATTTAATAAAATTTGCAAATTAAAACAAATTCGAATTGTTCTCTATTCGTACAAAAATCACCGGCAATTATCTTAAGTTAAAAAATCAAATAGTTCTTTTACTTGTATGCAATCGCAAAAAAAAATTGTTTGGTCTAGATGCAAAAGACGACAATGCTCCTTACATTTAAAACAGTATACTCAAAATATCATAGTGTACGCAGAGCTTGGCAGATGCCCCATTACTGTGTCTGTAAAGTTCCGAATGATAAATTTTTGGAGTAGACTTCTTAATGGAAAAGAAAGTTAATTTGTATTGAATTATACAAACTTGTGTTTTTATATTATCATGATAACGGAATAGATTCTTAGAGGATATTATATATAAAAAATTTTAGATAATTGTGGTATGTCCAATATATGGAATGGACAGTTTGCTGATAAATGGGTGTCAAAATGTATTGAGCAAACACCCGAAGACCAGTTTCAACAACAATGCTTTGCTTTTGTTACAGAATCGCCTACAACTTTATGCTATCGTATTTTTAGCAATAATTTACAATTTGAAAAATACTTTTCATTTTTACCTCATAAATTCACTTATACATTATGCAAATATAGATGTAGTAGTCACCACTTGCCGATTGAGTCTGGAAGGTGGCAGGGTTTACCTAGAGAAGACACAATATGCCGTCATTGTGACTCAAACGACATTGGTGACGAGTACAACTACATTATGAATTGTGGAACATTTAACTAGAAAGAAAGAAATGTTTACCGAACTACTGGTGTTCAAACCCTAATATCTATAAATTTAATCAACTGTTTAACTCATCAAATACTGTAATATTAGAAAAACTATGTAAAGTTATCAAAGTTATGAATGTGAAAGTCAGTCCTCCAAGTTATTTTAATTGTATCGTTTACACATACAAGTAATAATTGTACCTTATAGTTATATTTATGTATGTTCTCTATAACTATGTGATTGTAGTTTTATGAGAAACAAAGTATTCGTATTCCTTTAAACTGTAAATAACAGGAAGACAGCCTACGGGTAAAATACAAGTGTATATAATACCATAAAGTATTTAATCCTCATCCGTCTTCGTAAATGCAAAACTCGGGATTATCTTTGATATTAACCTGAGAGATCATAAAAGACAAATGTGACAAGATTTTCAATGAAAAATGAAACAAAACAAAAGATTTTTTTTTGTAGACGAGTAACAAATTGAATTAGGAAATTTGACCGAATGAATGAAATAAGCTTTAAAAAATCAATGCACATCTTTCTAGTGGCGAAAAACACGCATATCGAGTTACGTAGATGAAAAAGAATAAGTATATTAATAATTATTACTCTAAATAATTACAATGTCATCTTCATAAATTCAGCCGCTGGACGTTATATAGTAACTAATCAATAAACAACGATACAATACAATCAATGTGTTTCTATCAATCATTTAATGATAATAAAAGACTTTTGAATGTAAAAGTATGAAAGAAATACATTTAATTTATTGAAATTACATATTTTTTTTGATCAAATGATTTTTTTTAAACTGCTCCTGGTTATTAGTAACTGTCAGCTCATTGCGATATTTCATAGCTCTTTTACAAATTCCGAAAAAAATAACAAAGGAAAAATAGATGTTCCCATGAGAGAAATAAGAGTTCCCATGGGAAGAACAAATGTTCCCATGGGAAGAATAAATGTTCCCAATGGAAAAGATGTTCCCATGGGAAGAAAAAATTGTTCCCTTGGGAACAAAAATTCCCTTGGGAAATTAAAAATTTCCCATGGGAAGAAACTATTTACTAATGTTCCCATGGGAAATTGAAGTTCCGATGGGAACTTTAAAATTCCCATTGGAAAAGTACTTTTTCCGATGGGAACTTTAAATTTTCCTATGGGAACGTCTTATATTCCCATGGAAATTTTTAAATTTCCTATGGGAAATGTACTTTTAATCAGCTTTAGTGACAACAGTGACAACAGTGACATGTTGGGACATATGGGGAAATTAATTTTTTTTAATTATCTATCACTTGGCAAAAAAATATGTTTGATATCTTGTAAAACAACAAAGTCAGATTTGCCAATTCTGGAATGGCAAATTTGTCCCGCACAGTGTTTTTAGCTAGCTTTAAAACCAGGTACAATCCACCATTTCCTACATAAGAAAATGCCTGTACCAAGTCAGGAATATGACAGTTGTTATCCATTCGTTCGATGTGTTTGAGCTTTTGATTTTTCCCTTTGATTAGGGACTTTCTTTTTTGAATTTTCCTCGGAGTTCAGTATTTTTGTGTTTTTACTTTTTTTTTGAGTTGTTGGCATGTGTTGAAAATGCAAATATCCAAAGCTCTATTTAAACATAACTACAGACAAGCAGTAACGCACAGTAACTTAAAGGGAATTTATCTTTAAAAAAAAACATGACATAATTTCTTGAAAGTAAGAAATATTTTGGATTCTATGCAAGTTATAAATCAATCTTGCGGTATTTCTCGGAGGTTTACCAAGGAAAAATATTAAAGCCGAGTATGAACTTCAATTATGCTCTGCCAATTTCTTAATTTTATTCTAAAGTGATAAAACTAGTTAGGTTATGCGTTCTAAACACTTTGACAAACATGTTTTATTTAAGGCAACACACATCTTAAGTGTTATCAGCTGTGTAGAAACGACTATATTTTTCAGTAAGTCTTAACAACTATTACCCTAATGCTAGTTTTAAATGAATATGTAGAAACGAATTGTCGTACCCCGAAAGCGCGGCTTACGGAGACTGTCGCATTATTAATACAACACTATGAAAGATGGTACCTTAAACTGAATGTTGTTGTTGGTTTTGTACTATTTCATTACATATCTATATTAATGAAAAGTATATACATGTATGTGTATGTATCTAAAATTACTAGTGACATGTTTTCACAGTCTAAGATCTTTTAAGATACCATAAATGTTGTCTTATAAGTAATTTCACCGGTTGCATCCTATTCCTAAATGTAACATGTTGAGTAAGTGTGAATTCTCATGGAGGGTAATGCATACATAGTAGGAGACACTCAACCTGTCAGTGCACCCAGTCTGTCTCCCTCTGTAGCACATGGCAGGTCCTCGAAAATGTTAACATCAGTAAACTTCTATTGCCTATATCTATATTTTGAAAAGCAATTGAATAATACTTACCAACGTAACTTTTATAAGGTAACATTTTTTTTTCTTGACAACACCTTCTAAAAAACAAATATATAGAGATCTATCAATACAACATAGCTTATCTAAAATTCACTATATATATGTATCCATTATATTTTTACATTTTTTCCACTAAATTCTTAATAAGTTCTGTAGTGTGAGCCTAACTTTGAACCCTGTAGTAAATTGTTATTTTCATTCGATACAATGGTATGAAAAAATAGCTTCATTTTGAATTGTTGGTAAAAAAAATAAGTTGAATTATTTATCCATCAATCATAGAAACATTTATAATGTATTTAAAAGGTAATGATCATAGTAAATAGAAGTAAACATGCGCTCTTAACGAAATAATAGAAGCTTTTTATAACAGTTTACATTATTTATGTTTGAAATGGGATTACATATACCAATTAATATTTTCACTGACAAAGATTTAATGAATTGCCTATCAATATTACAATTCAATAAATGAAAGAATACTTTATTTGATTGATTGTTGTTTGGTTAACGTTCATGTTGCTATACTTGCTATGTCAAACAAGGATATACCCAATATACATGAAAAAAAAGCGGACAGCAGAAAACATTTGTAACAGAATATTTAAAATAACAAAATGACACTATACGTAAGCGAATTTTGCATACTGCTTTTCAATAATTGAATAGTTTTACTGTCAGAGAATTACAAAGAACTTGATATAAATTAACTTCTTAAATAACGTGTACCGATTTCGCCATGATAGTAATACATGGTAATAATTAGGGTAATATTTGTATTCGTAATGCTTGACGAAATAAAACAAAATATAATTTGTCCTCTTAAACATTCATATTGCAACATATAAAAATTATTATATCTCTTTGTATATTGTGATAACTACCAGATTCAACAATTTATTAGAGTGTTTCGCTTCCCAATTAGTAAACATAGATACATTACAGTGTAAATCTAAGTATTTTTTCAATATAAAATACTAATTCATACATGTATCGTCTATAAATACATAGTTTGTTACATTTATCTATACATTCTGCTGCAGTCTACCTTTGTAAAAATTAGTCTACAATACGTGTTTTAACACAAATTATAATGTACCAGAACCTTGTAAAATCCAGACCTCGAAAATCTAAAGTTACATAACAAGTGTTTGACGTGAGACGCCAAACTAATTTCACCATTATTTGCATCTTCATACAAAAGCTTATAAACTTCATGTAGAATATGAGGATGTTAGTTTTTGCACGATTTCATGATTTCCTGATTTTATATATTTTCTCAAAATATGTTATGACAAATGCCCATTTATAGCTCTGTGATGTTGATGTGAAGATGAGGAACTTTTGAAATTAGTTACTGCAAGTGATAGCTTTAAAAGAGGGAAACTGGCTATAACCATTAGTACAACTCTATAAAAAAGAGAAGAAGACACCATTTAAACTCATCATAGATACCAGATTTTTTTAAATGTTTTTTCCTGCTTTATATCCGTCTGATGAGGTAAGCCCCTTTCAACAGATTTTTATAGTTTGCTCTTATGTTGTATTGTTACACCACTGCCCCTGGTTAGGGAAGGGTTGGTGCATTCAGGCATGTTTAACCCCACCAAATTCTTTATGTACCTGTCTCAAGTCAGGAACCTGTAATTCAGTGGTTGTCGTTGGTTCGTTTCAGTCAACTTATTTTTCGTAAATTGTTTTGTTATAAATTAGGCCGTTAGTTTTCTCAATTGAATGGTTTCATATTTTCATGTCGAGGCCTTTTATAGCCGACTATACGGTATGGGTTTTTCTCATTGTTGAAGACTATACGGTTGCCTATAATTGCTTACAACCACTTCTTTTGAACTTTGGTGGATAATTGTGTCGTTGACAATCATTCCACATCTCCTTATTTTTGTATTACATTTTAGACGTTTTTGTATGGCAAACGCGCGTTTCGTATACAAAACACTCATCAGTGACGCTCGAATGAAAAAAATTTAAAATATAAGTCCATTATAACACAGACAACACCATGGTAAAAAATTTAAAAACTTCTTTTTAATTTGATTTGATTTTTATGCTATACAAAACATACCCAAAAGCGCGAAGAGCATATTAATATTCTGTAGCAAGATTCAGAAAAAATTAAAAAAAAATGTATGGGCGTGGTCTTATTGCTTAGTATACAGTATGGGTTTTTCACTTCAGCGAAGACCATACGGTAACGTATTGTTTCTTACATCCATTCATTTACAACAATACCATATCTTCTTATTTCTATGTTATATAACTATGACTGCAATACACATAAATTCTTCTGATCAAGATTACTGCAATACAAAACTTACCAAAAAGATTGATCAAATGAAAGAATGCGGATTTGTTGTACGACAGGAAAAACCTTAAAATATGCATTATCTGACTTATATACTGTACCGTCAAAGAAAATTATTTTCTGCAAAGATTTACAGGAATTGTATCCTATTTTACTGATCACATTGAAATAGGATATTCTTTTCTTATGCGTTTAGGGTCCTCAATGCTCTACAACTTTGTACTTGTTTGGCTTTATAACTATTAAGATATGAGCGTCACTGATGAGTCTTATGAAGACGAAACGAGCGTCTGGCTTATTAAATTATAATCCTGGTACCATTGATAACTAATTAGGTAAAACCAAGCCTTACTGCTAATTTTTAATATTAAATAAATCTCACTGATTAATCTAGATACAAACGTTAGAAATCACTGTCCAATTACAATATAAATATTACATAAATGCATGGTGCAGGAAGCAAATTAATCGTTTATAATATAAGCTTTATTATAAAATAATTAAATTAAATTATTCTTACCATTTGTAAACTTTGTTTCAATATTTTTTTGTATTAGTAGCAACCCTATTTCAACAATAAATATTTGAAATGGAAGAAATTGGGTGTCGTTTCAACTGAAAGATATCAACCACATATCCAGGCTCTACCGAGAATCCTACAACAATACAATTAAATTAGATTTTTTCTCGTAATCTTTTCTCAGCTGGACCTCATTGTCAATTTCTAGATTTATGTCAAGATATTAATTATGATATTAATACCTAATTATCCTATCCAGCAGCTCATAAACAGACGGATATTGTTATGAACTTTGTCTGAGGGACTACAACATATATGTCATGGAGGTAGAAGAGGTGTTAAGCAACATTCATTTCTTTGGTCAAAGACCTATTGAGTTTGTTTGGTCTCATTCAATTTGCATAAATCACCTCCTGGTAAGTAATATGTAATAAAAAACGAAAACTCGCCAAAAATTTGGCAAAATACAATCAAATCGAAAAACAGGGGTTGGTCTCAGGTGCTCCAAAAAGATAAGCAGATCCTGCACAATATGTGGCACCCCATCGTGTTGCTCAAATTTGCTGATAAGTTTATCTCGGTCGGTCACATTCTGGGAAAAAGAGGACGGGATTGTAATTACGACAATTGGAAAACATAAGTCTTCACCTGTTAAACAGAAATTCCATTAGAGTTAACCAATTGTTGATGGCGTCCGTAAATTTCCGAAGGATGACTTGACCTTAACAACTTAAAACTCTTTGTTTAACATGTTGAAGTGCTTCATTGTTAGCAGCAACCCTCTATCTAGAAAATCGTGATAGGAACTCAAGCTTAGAAACATCGTACCAACTGTGATATATACAATCTTTATGCAGGCGCTGCGGACATATAGCTACATAGAAATGGAAAATTCACAATTGGTAGCTGAACTCGTGTTGTGTTGAAAATGTTTGTTCTCAAGCGACCCGCAGTGAATTGTAGATGTAATCAAGATATGATGCAGACTTAACTGTATCTATTGTATGCTTTATTTCAAGTTTGATGGAATAGGTGTGTTCAACATAGTCACCAAACTTTAATTTTTTTAGAAAGAGGACATAATCTATGTAGTAGAATGTGAGGTTAAAGGACAATGCTTGCTTCTTTTTATTCTTCCTAAATAGCTCCTGTATGAAGTATGACACATAGAAATAAAGGAACACGTCGACAAAAAGAGGAGAGGGAATTGCCGATTGTTTGTTGAAAAAAACTTCCAAACGTAACAAATAGGTTGATAATCAGGAAATCAAGCATCTCGATAAATTAAATGTTAGTTTCATAGAATTTTTTGTTTAAAGTGTTTTTACATAGTACAATTTGTTCCTCCTTCAAACAAGAAATTTGTGTCTATGATGGCCATTCATTTATCAAACAAAAAAATATAGATTATTTTAAAAAGAACATATTCATAAAACAAATGATTTTTTTTCAATTAAAACAAAAGTATATAAAAAAACCATACCTGTCGTTCAAGGAATTGATGACTGCAGATATTATTCAGAGCATTTCACGAATATACAATTTATACGACGAGAAACATACTTGATCGTGTGCAAACAGGTACATCATAGTTATCAAACATAACAATGTATAAGATTGTGTACAGGTGTCTTTTGAAAACAAAAATTTATGTAGGGTTCACCACACATGGTCGTTTAAAACTACCCGTTGGTGGATTCATTGTCGAGAAAATCAATTTTTAGTTTAAAGTGCCATTATGCATTCGATATGAAATCTTTAAAATATTTAACAGGTTTGTACTTATGTTCCTTGGTCTATTAAAAATTAAAGTATGCATAAATTAGCTAACTTATGTTTCAGACAATATTACGGAAGCGTATTAGCGCTACACATTATTTTTTTCTATATTTCTTCCTATGTTTGCGTTGTAACGCAAACATTTTGATTTTAATTATTCATTAAGTTTTGAGTATTTTATAATCAAAAACTACATTGAAGTTACATTTTAGGTTTATTATAAAAAAAGCAGTGTTTTGTAAATGTCGGCATTTGTATGTCCGTCTGGCAGTAAAATGTGTTTGTGATTTAGTTAAGAGAAGGACCATGAACACAATGCTAAATCATTATAATAATATACAAAGAAATAAGGGAATACTTGTATCGCAATTATACACAAATAATTAAAGATTTTGTATCAGAAAATTG